CCAAGAGAGTCTGATTTGATTGGTCCATAGTGTGGCCTGGGCATTGGTCACTTAAAAATGCTTCCCAAGAAAATAGCCATTTTACTGTGTGGGAACTCTAGCCCAGGGCTCAAAGTTAACATCTTCAGTAATCAGAAATACGGACATCGTAGGGCATCCTAATATAGATGGAGAGGCGTCGCCTCTGAGGTATTCTTACCTAAAGGGCAATAACCTGAGTTTCATCAGGAGAAAATATTAGAAAAGCCCAAACTGAGGGCCATGGTACAAAATAACTCCAACACTCTCCAAAATGCAAAGGTCATGAAGGCAAAAGAAATTCTCAGGAACTGTCCCAGATTAAGGGAGACTGAGAGGACAGAGCAATGAGATGTGATGTGTGATCTTGGATGCGATCCTGGGCCGGAAAGAGGACATCGCTGGGAGGATCTAAGGCATTTGCAATTCATTGACTGTACGATGTCAGCGATCATTTGTCAGTTTTAATGTTGGCACTGCGATGATCTAAAATAATACTGGGGGGAGTTGAGTGAAAAGTACATGGAGACTCTGACTATTTTTGGAACATTTTTGAAAGTCTGAAATTATTTCAAAATAGAAGTTAAAAAAAGAAAAAAACAAGTCGAATGATCAGCTTCCACGTGGTCATATTAGGTCGCCAGAGTTCAGAACCACCTCTCTAAGGTATCTTGCCTAATACTGTTGTAACCGAGTGCCCCGATTTTTCTAGAGGTGGCTTACTTTTAAAAATTCTTTTAATAGAAATAATTATTTTCTTTCTTACAGTCCCACATTGTTGCTAGACCAATGGCTAGTGGCCTGATTCAGGACCATCCTAGTGGCAAAAGCTGCTTGTAACATGGGCCCTGCGTGCAGGCATAGGTATAGTCCTCTGTTTCGGAGCTTCCTGCTTTTATATCCTTGCTATAAAAATATAAGGCAGGCCTTCCCAGAGACTTTCTGGACGTAATGCTCCAATGTACATAATCTATAAGCTGGGTACTCATACTTTTTTTTTTCTTTGAGATGTAGTCTCACTCTGTCACCCAGGCTGGAGAGCAGTGGCGTGATCTCGGCTCATTGCAATCTCTGCCTCCTGGGTTCAAGCAATTCTTTGTCTCAGCCTCCCGAGTAGCTGGAATTACAGGCACCTGCCACCACGCCAGGCTAATTTTTATATTTTTAGTAGAGATGGGGTTTCATCATCTTGGCCAGGCTGGCCTTGAACGCCTGACCTCATGATCCACCCACCTCGGCCTCCCAAAGTACTAGGATTATAGGCGTGAGTCCCCACGCCCGGCCACTCATAAATATTTTTAACTCCAAGTAAATTGGTTCCATTCTACTGTCCAAGGACTATGCCCCCTTTCAGCAAAAAGTAGGCAGAACAGATGTGGCACCCATATTCCATAAAGATAAAACAAAACTTGACACTGGAAAATTGTATCAGTAACTTCATTTTTCTAGAGATGGTTTATTTTTCCCCCCCATCTCTTTTCTTATTTGCCCAGCACGCTGTTTCCTACTTAGCCCTTCAGAAATGCATATATAACCTTTCACCTCCCCCATCGCTGGATGCTCCCTAAGGGGCAAGTTCCTCTAGATTTGCGCTCCTTGATGGGTCCGTCCTCAAGAGTGGACAGATTATTAGCAGACCATAGAATACGTGGCACAGAGCTTTCAACTTTAAGGGATTGCCTCAGAGCTTCCATCCTGGGTCACCTGGGAACTCACACACATTCAGAGGGCATGTCAGAAGCATACCCACTTGGCCATTTTTTTTTTTTTTTTTGAGACGGAGTCTCTATCGCCCAGGCTAGAGTGCAGTGAGGCGATCTTGGCTCACTACGACCTCCGACTCCCTGGTTCAAGGGATTCTCCTGCCTCAGTCTCCTGAGTAACTGGGATTACAGGCACACGCCACCACATCCGGCTTTTTTTGTATTTTTAGTAGAGACGGGGTTAGCCGGGATGGTCTTGATCTCCTGATCTTGTGATGGGCCCGCCTCAGCCTCCCAAAGTGCTGGGCTTACAGGCATGAGCCACCGTGCCCGGCCAACCATTTTTATAACTTCTGTCCAGGAAGGTGCCAACTCAGTTGCCCAGGAGATAACTTCCTGGTAACAGAGAGACCGGGCAGTTATCTACGTCTCATTTCTTCTCTTGCTCATTGCTTGCTCATTCTCGTTCATTTCCTCTCTTACCTTATAAAATACCTGCTTTTTGTTCCAAAGGTGAAGCAGCACCTTTAAAGGCAGAGTGCTTTGTGCCCCTTCCTCCAAGCTGGATTTGGAATAAAGTTACTTTTTTTTTTTTTGCTATCAGACCTTGCTTTTGTTAATGGGACTCTCCATGCAGCTTGCAACTAACCTGCTTTTTGGTTACACTGTTAGAGTGATCTTCCTGGAAATGCTATTTGCTGTGTTTCTGACCTTCTCAAAGCTTTCCAGTGACTCCTGTCATCCGTCGGATGAAGCTCCAGTTCCTTAGGCTGCCACTCAAAACCCCCATAACAAAGCCGCAGTCTACTCCCTTGGTCTATGTGGGAAGTAGAAAACTTCCTTTTTAAAGTTTCTTTTTCTGTTAAAGAATAAATATGCTAGTAATTCTTTGTTAAGCCCTATCCTATGTAGCTGTTAGACATGCCATGCTTACAAACATGTAGTACATTCTATGTCCTTATACTTTCACCAAAATATCTGTGCTGGACGTGCTCACAGGCATATCCCAGCTCTCCATTGCTTTTAAGTGTTTAGAAAAGTTTTAAGTTATTAGCCAATCAGGTTTTAGTTTAGATGGTGAGCTCTGGCTCCAACCAATGGAGATCAGACACAGCAGTAAGGACGACCCCAAATGCATAAAGAATAAATTTCTCTGTTTTTCTTTGTTTGTTGTACTCTCATAGCACAGTGGCTAGCGGGAGTACCCTTCCTGCAGTTCAGGAAGTAAAAATTCTGTTGTAGAAAGATCCTTTGTCCCAGTGCTGATTTTTCTTTGCGGCACTGAGCGTCTATTTCCAACAGTCTGTATAGAAAGACTTGACCCACATTTTATGTTTTCATGTCCGAACTGGTTCTAATTCTTTCACTACTTTCCACAATACCCTCAACTGTTTTCTCAGCCTCCTAAGCTGTTCTTTGTTCTAAGGCCCATTTCAGACTCCGACTCTTCATTGAAACCTGTATGGTTATTTCAGTTAGAAGCGGTCATCCTTTGAATTCATATAGGCTCAAAAGTTCTGCATAATCTTTGGATTCAGAAATGTTCAGAGTCTGAATCCTGGTTCCACCTTTGACCAATTATGAAATAAAGGACAAGTTAATTGGTGTCTTGGGATAGAGGGATAATAGTGCCTACTTCTGTATTCCCAGCACTTCGGGAGGCTGAGAAAACAGTTGGGCGGATTACGAGGTCAAGAGAACAAGACCATCCTGGCCAACATGGTGAAACCACATCTCTACTAAAAATACAAAAATTAGCTGGGCGTGGTGGCATGTACCTGTAGTCCCAGCTACTCGGGAGGCTGAGGCAGGAGAGTTGCTTGAACCCGGGAGGTGGAGGTTGCAGTGAGCCAAGATCACACCACTGCTATCCAGCCTGGTGCCTGGTGATGGAACAAGACTCTGTCTCAAAAAAAAAAAAAAAGTGCCTATTTAAAGTGTCATTGGGGGCATTAGATAAGGTGGAAATATAAAGGTTGACAGTATATAAAAACATAAGCAGTATTAGACAAGATAACTGAAAAAATAGCTCAGTGCTCCCCAAAGGTATTGTGGGTTGTGCAGAAGCTCTTATCAAAATTTTCTGGAGAGCCTTTAAAAAATATTTCTGCCTGGTCATCACTAAAATGAGAGAGACTCTTGAACTGGACTGAATGCTTGGGACTTTAAGGAGTTCAACTGAAATTTTTTCCCCCTTGGAACACAACTCAGTAAATTCGTGATCTATGGACAGAGGAATGTAATCTGATATGGGGAGAAGGGAGGGACAATGGGTTTCTGAATGGGAGAAAGCTGTGATGCCATCCACACCCATCCCTTTGCTCTCATCAGATGGCATCAAGGAAGTACAACTCCTAAAATTATGTAAAGGAAAAGAAAAATCTCAGGGCTGTCAAACTCATTACACCAAAGGGAAAGTTCACTCTGGAGTCACGTAATGCCACTATCTTCTTTTCTCCAGATGAACAGCTACACAGCCTCGTGTCAAGGCACTGCACATTAGCACCACAGGCGGGTGCAAAGTCCTCAGGTATCTCTAGGTGACTGCCTTCACAAATTGTTCTTTGCTGGCCTTGAAACCTTTTTTTTTTTTTTTAATAGCTAAAGGATATTTACTTTTACCAAGACTTTATCTTGAGGACATGGCTAAGCTGCATTTCCACCCCACCCCATCTTGGAGAGGAGTTAGTGAAGTGAATGTTATAAAGTAGATATGAGCAGCTAGCTGAAGGACTGGAACCAAAATTGACTGACAAAGTACAACTTTCATCTAAATCATCATAAAAATATTTAAGTAAAAAAAAAAAAAAAAGGCCGGGCGTGGTGTCCCAGCACTTTGGGAGGCCGAGGTGGGTGGATCACAAGGTCAAGAGATCGAGACCATCCTGGTCAACATGGTAAAACCCCGTCTCTACTAAAAATACAAAAATTAGCTGGGCATGGTGGTGTGCGCCTGTAGTCCCAGCTACTCGGGAGGCTGAGGCAGGAGAATTGCCTGAACCCAGGAGGTGGAGGTTGCCGTGAGCCGAGATCGTGCCATTGCACTCCAGCCTGGGTAACAAGAGCAAAACTCCGTCTTAAAAAAAAAGAAAAGAAAAAAAGAGGGGCAATGGGGGTTTCTGATTGAACAAATGCTCACATTTCATCTAATACAGTCAATCTTGGCTAGAGTATAACAAAGTGGAAACAGGATTACTATGATAAAAAACTTCCACTACAGCATGCTGTACACACCTGTGTTCCAAGCCCACCCCATCCCCAGTAATGCTTCCAACACGATTATTTCCCAGCCTGTTGGGCCCACCGAAGGAGCACGTAGATCTTCTCGTTAATCCAGTCTTTGTTATAAGGCTGGGTATCAGCCCGGTAAAGCAGGCAGCTGAGGTCTGCCGGATCATCAATGAAATCAAACAATTGACTGATGTCGTATGTGATAGAAGGACTGTTGGGATTCATTCTTTTCAGATGTTCTTCATACATTTCACAAACGCCTTCCATGCATTCATTCACAGATTCATAGTCTGCATGAGTTCTGCCTTCTGGCCTCTTGGTAGGCTGTACCAGCAAAATAGTGTGAGACGTCACACCAAAGTCTCTTCGCTGCACATGTCGCGGCCACTACTCGAGCTTAGCCACAACGCCCGGCCTTGAAGCCTCTTAAGATGTATATCCTTCCACAAAACAAGGACATGCCAACTGTAAATTTAGGTTTGCAATCTAAGATTTCACACTGATAATGCTTATCTTTCCAAGTAAAGAAGAAAGACTAGAGGAGACCAATCATTCTTCCCTCTACTGTATCTTCCTACCTGCCTTTCCCACTTGAAGGAGATGTATAAATACCAGCCCTCCTGAAAACCTCTGCAAAGACAACACAAGCCATAGAGAGAATTTCTTTTTTTTGAGACGAATTTTGCTCTTGTTGCCCAGGCTGGAGTGCCATGGCGTGATCTCGGCTCACCGCAACCTCTGCCTCCCAGGTTCAAGTGATTCTTCTGCCTCAGCCTCCCAAGTAGCTGGGATTACAGGCCACCATGCCCGGCTAATTTTGTATTTTTAGTAGAGATGGGGTTTCTCCATGTTGGTCAGGCTGGTCTTGAACTCCCAACCTCAGGTGATCTGCCTGTTTCAGCCTCCCAAAGTGCTTGGATTACAGGCGTGAGCCACCCCTACCTGGTCTGCCATCGAGGATTTCTGACCTTGTGATCTGCCTGCCTCGCCCTCCCAAAGGGCTGGGATTACAGGTGTGAACCACCGTGCCCCGATTTTTTGTTTGAGATCCAAGTTTTGTTTTGCCATGAACTCCTCTACTCATGGAGCTTTGCTCACCTCCTGTGAGGAAGGTGAGTTTCCTTGTCCTGTGACAATGGAGAGCAGCCTTCAGCTTGGTCCCCTCTCAGAGAAGGAGCTGCGTTAGGGTTTTGTCTTAAAATGTGGTAGCTGCAGGGGAAGGTTTGTTGCCAGTTGGCTCTAACCTCTCCTCATGCTTAGAGGGCAACAGTGTGTGATTTGTGTCATCACTTTTTGTGTTTTTGATTTTCGTCATTCCTTTCTTTGAGCTTGTCCAACTCTTGGCCCTGTCTAGTGTCCAAAACACCTCCCAACTTGGTCACATCCAGCAGGAGCTCTAGAAGGTCGGCTAAAACTCCTGAAACTGCAGAACATCAAGTTCTCCCTCTAGGAATCACCTGACAGTTGAAGGAAATACCCAAAATATATTTATTTGACATAATTTGGGATGTCAGCAAAACCCGTCCTGCGAAGGTATCTTTCATGGGAAAACTGGCATCTGTAGAGAATTTTCATTAATGTAGCCAGGATTTCTGTTGTCTGGATCTGGGAATAATTAACTGAGCCTGATACCTTAAAGATCCAAAAGAAATATTTACCATCTGTTCTCTCCGAGGGCTGCTACCTGTGAGGTTTCATCTATATAACAAGACCATCTTTGTTAGCCAAGCCTCTTCCTTTCTTCCTCCCATAACCTGTCTTGCTACTTAAACCTGATTTACCACCATAACCTGTTTCTGGCCATGCAGGAATCCAAGAAAATGATCAACCACCGAAAGCGTAGGAATTTATTATCAGCAAGGCTCCTGGTTTCTCTCTCTGTGCAATTGTTCAGGCAGATGGGAAAAGCTAGTTTCCTCTGCAAAGTTTTGGTTAATGGGAGGAGAAGATTTGTGTATGACTAGCCTTGGTGTAGTGATTCTGGTGTCGTATTTGGTACAGTTTTTCATATGAATATTTATATTGTTTAATCCCTTTCCTTCCAGAAATAGTCTTTTCCTCTGTCTCTTTCCTTTTGTTTTGTTCATAAACAAATAAAATTCCCTCTCATCTTGTTTTATGTCCTTGAGGGCTTGATTTGTGGCCAAGTGGGAGGACTTGCTCTTGGACCCCACCATCTGGAAGGTGTGATTTTTGAGTCACATCAGGTGATCAGCCTGAAAATGACTGCGACCTGAGATTTTTTATTTTTATTTTATTTTTTATTTATTATTATTTTTTTTTAGATGGAGTTTCGCTCTTGTTACCCAGGCTGGAGTGCAATGGCGCGATCTCGGCTCACCGCAACCTCCGCCTCCTGGGTTCAGGCAATTCTCCTGCCTCAGCCTCCTGAGTAGCTGGGATTACAGGCACGCGCCACCATGCCCAGCTAATTTTTTTTGTATTTTTAGTGGAGACGGTGTTTCACCATGTTGACCAGGATGGTCTCGATCTGTTGACCTCATGATCCACCTGCCTCAGCCTCCCAAAGTGTTATTTTTATTTTTATTTTTTTGGTTTCTTTGTTCCAAATGAGTTGAGCTCCCAGGAGATTTTGTCATAAGAGTCCCATCCATAAGGGGTTTTTGTTGCCCCAACCCTTGTTGCCTGGTTAGTGCTATGGAAACAAGCGTCTTCTGCTGTCCTGTTCTATTTCTGGGAGTGAGCATTTTATTTTGTTGGGGGGACAGATCTTTGGGTTTGCTTCAGCCGTGAAGAAACGACTGGATTGAGTCATTATTGGGATCAATACACCACTGGAAATTCTAATCGCCAGTGACCAGAAGATGGATCCTTTAAATTGGACTCCTACATTAAAAGAAGATTTTGGAGATCTTTTATTTCAAGTAGTTGATGGAAAGTTAAAATTAAAAGAAAAAGACACATCATAGTGCTATGACTAGCTTTAAAAATTCTCTTGAGTAAATTATAAAAATTTGACCTGGCCGGGTGCGGTGGCACACGCCTATAATCCCAGCACTTTGGGAGGCCGAGGCGGGTGGATCACGAGGTCAAGAGATCGAGACCATCCTGGTCAACACAGTGAAACCCCATCTCTTCTAAAAATACAAAAATTAGCTGGGCATGGTGGCGCGTGCCTGTAATCCCAGCTACTCAGGAGGCTGAGGCAGGAGAATTGCCTGAACCCGGGAGGCAGAGGTTGCGGTGAGCCGAGATCGTGCCATTGCACTCCAGCCTGGGTAACAACAGCGAAACTCCATCTCAAAAAAAAAAAAATAAGTAATAAAACTGTTGCTTCTATTATATATTATATACATAATATGTAAAATATAATAAAGCAATGGTTATATATATAAATTAAGTGACAGTTATATATATTACATACTTATAACTTGCTTACTTCCTATGTTTTTCTTATTTTCAGACACCCTGAAAATAAGGGCGTCTAAGAATTAACAATGTAATTAATATAGGTATTTAAGACTACTAGATTTAAGAGTAACAATTCTATAGCAAAGTGTATAAGGAAAGTTAGGATGTGTTTTTGGTCAAATAAAATTTATAAGAAGTGATAAAAATATATTTGTTAAAGGAAGAGTTATTTTTTCTAGTTTAGGGATTTTTAAGGATTATTTTAAATTGAAGGAATTTAAAAAATGATAGATAATACTGAATGGAGGTAGAAAGTTGGAGAAAGAGAATGCACAAAATTATAAAAGGTTATAAAATGTCTTATGGAAATCTTACACTGTAGTCAAAACTGATAAAAATTAGGTAGATTTAATTTATAAGGTTTTATTAAAATTCACATCAGCACTAATAATACAATAAAACAAAGGTAACATTTGCTCTTTTTCTTTTGAACAAGATTTTCATGTAGCATTAATAGGAGATAGTAAAATTTTTTTGTTTACCTTTTGAGAAAGCAGGGAGAGAGAGAGACAGAATCAGTTTACCTTATGATGCCTTTATTAAGCCTTATTATTATTTCGAAAACAAAATCTCTTCTCAGAGTAAAGTTTCCTCAAAGAATGAAAGTTTTTGCTGGTCAGGCATGGTGGCTCATGCTTACAATTCTAGCACTTTGGTAGGCTGAGGCAGAAGGATGGCTGGAATGAAGGAGTTTGAGTGAGATCAGCCTGAGCCACATATAGAGACTGTCTGTACAAAAAAAAAAAAAAAACCCAACAGAAAAATTAGCAAGGTGTGGTGGCAGCCACCTGTGGTCTCATCTACTCAGGTGGCTGGGTTGGGAGAATTGCATAAGCCCTGGAGATCAAGGCTGCGGTGAGGTATGATGGTGCCACTACACTCCAGCCTGGGTGACAGAATGAGACCCTGTCTCAAAAAATTAAAAATTAAAAAAAATAAAGATTTTTCCCTCTTCACATTTTTCAGTTATCACTTTGGCTAAATTGATGACTATTATTTTATAGTGACCTGTGACGAATTTTGAACAAGTGTCTTAAACCTTCCATATTTGACAAACTTTCCAAAATCAACATTTCAGGCCAATTATGAGCCTAAAACTTATTTTGCAAATAACTTGGGTCCTCCTGTAATTTGCCTTTGGTAAAAATGAGGAAGTGGAGAGAGAAAACATTATGTTTCAGAAGAAACTACAGCACAGCTGGTATTAAATTCTGGTGTTGCTCGTCGTTGTCGAGTTTTGTTATTTCCTTACAGTTTGGATTGAATCCTGAATTCTTTCCTCGCTGCAGGTCTTGAAACTAACATTTTCCAAGTTGTCTTCCATTTTTCTGACTTGGAATCATTAGAAATTAAAATGATGCTTTTTCCTAAAGCCTTGTAACCTGAAGCTAGACAATTTCCGTGAACTTCAGGAGAAATGACAGCTTAGAGATCACAGCCTGCTGCTGTGCGGACCGCTCAAAAGGTTCACTTGAACACCTAATCCAGACTGCAATCCAGAGAAATCTGCCACTGCAATCTGAACGTTCTTCAGAGCCTCTGAAGTTGATAGAGTGCTCCAGATACTCTAATCGAGCCAACCTAAAACAGAAACAGTTAGGGTGATGCTTGCTCAAAGAATTGCTTCAACTGAAGAGGCAGCTGTGTAGCCTGATCAGGGTTCCACAGTTTCTTTCCCTTTGTTCTAGTAACATGGCTTTGGCCCTTTGCTGCTGCACTTCACCCCCCTCTCCAACATGACACATAACTTCCTAGGAATGAGCCTTCCTAGTGATATGTAGGATCAGATGAAAACAGAACCGCAAACCCGTATCTTCCATAATGTTTTCTCTGAAAGATTTTGTCCTCAAAATCTGTTCAAAATTGGTCAGAGGTCACTGTAAAATAATAGCCATTAATTTAGCCAAAGTGATAATTGAAAAATGTTAAGAGGGAAAAATCTTTTTTTGTCTTCAGAATCTTTCAGGGGGTTGGCCAGGTGCAGTGGCTCATGCCTGTAATCGTAGCACTTTGGGAGGATGCGGTGGTGGATCACTTGAGCTCAGGAGTTCAAGACCAGCCTGGGCAACATGGAGAAATGTCATCTCTACAAAAAATACACACACACAAAAATTAGTCGGGTGGGGTGGCATGGGCCTGTAGTCCCAGCTATTACTTGGGAGACTGAGGTAGGAGGATTGCTTGAGCCTGGGAAGCGGAAGTTGCAGTGAGCCATGATTGCACTACTGCACTCCAGCCTGGGTGACAGAGTGAGACTGTCTCAAAAAAAAAAAAAAAAAAAAAAAAAAAAAAGAATAGCAAGTAAATGTCAAGGGGAAAAAAGACTTCAGGACCCTCTTTATGTCAACGGGAAAGTTAAGCTTTGAGACTGATCATGCAACACCACTGTCATTTCCGCAGGTGGGTCCCTGGTACTACAAAACCTTGTGTCGGTGTATCAGCCAGACCTCCATAGGAAGGCAAAAGGCCTTAGGTATTTCTGGATGACTCATAAATTGTTCTTGCTGGCCTTAAAACTCTTAAGATGTACATCCTCCCATATAACAAGGTGCCGATTGTAACTTCAGGTCTGAAATCCAAGCCTAGCCCCTAAGGCTTTAGTTTTAGTCCTTAGGATTTCAGGCTGATAATGCTTATCTTTCCAGGTCCAGAACAAAGACAAAATCAATCCTTCTTCCGCCTGCCCACCTCTTCCTATCTGCCTTCCCCCTTTACTGCCTCTGAAAACCTCTTTAAAGAGAACACAAGCCACAGAGGTTTTCTGTGACCTTTGTTTTCCCAGGGCGTGCCCTCAAGGTCTGCCTCAATAAAAATTAATTTAGACACTTGCCTCAGTCACTCATTTTGAATAACCACCATGAGTTCTGCACAGCCCTTCACTAAACCATTTCCTGCCCAGGTGATGTGTACCTAGGTGAGTCAGGCCCTCCCACCCCACCACTCAAGTGCTGTGTGCTCTGGTCTGGCCCCAGCTCCCAAGCTGTTAGTATCGGTTTAAGAAAGCAAGGCCAGGTGGGAGAGGCTGAGAAGGAAGTCAGAGGCTACCAGGCATGGAAAGAGACAGGTGGGGCTGTCACTGCTCAAAAGCCACACACACTGGGTGTGTTTTATGACTGTTTTCTGGATTTGAAGTCTTCTCCCCTTTGTGACTGTTCCAGGAACTCAGGCTTTTTCCTGCTTGCTTCTCATTACACACTTACTGTTCCTCATGTACTTCATTTATGGCCAGAAAATGGCTGTGCAAATAGTTGACAATTGAAAAAATATCTTTTTATGAGGACAGGGAACCTGGCCCTATTTTTTCCCCGAAGAGATTGGGGTTCATAAAAGCCAGCTTTTATACAGGTGTGAGCAGTTGTAAGTATGGGTGAGACAGAAAACAAAATGCTGGCTGTTTGTCAAACCCTGAGGGTAGAGGGGACAAAAATCATTCTGGAAGGTGGATGTCATTCAGGAGACCTTGGACAGCTTAGGGTGCCCTCTGCCCAGATAAAGTGGAGGAAGAGGTTAAATTATGGAGTTGGGTGACACTGGGTACATTACTTCACATCTCTGCCTCAGTTTTCTTTAATCTGTAAAAACCAAGATGATAGCACTCAGGATTTTTTGTGAGGGCTGGAGAGACCTGGAAAGCTCTTAGGATAGTGCCTGGTGCAAAGTGAGTGCTGCATCAGTGTGAGCTAATTATAATTATGGGAACAGGTAAAGGTGCCATCCTGGGCATGCAGGGTGGGGAGGTATTTTCCAGCCAGAGTCCTGGCAGGCCAGCTGGAGATGATGATGGTGAAGGGGGAGGCTTACCCTCTAGGAGTGGAAGGATTGGGGAGCAGTAATTCATGCACAACGTTCTGTGAAAACGCCTGTACCCAGCACCAGGCATATGCAGAGTGGGTGTGGCTTCTGTCAGTTATTATCTCCTGGGGTCTAGAATACGTCCTAGAGTCAAATGATTTTTCTGAAAGCCAAGCAAGCCTAGAAACAGGTTGGAGGGGGTGCCTTGCAAATTAGCATCCATTATGCCAAAAGAAAGCATTTATTTATTTTTTTTTTTTTTTTTTTGAGATGGAGTTTTACTCTTGTTGCCCGGTCTGGAGTGCAATGGCACGATCTCGGTTCACCGCAAGGGCGATTCTCGTGTTTCAGCCTCCCAAGTATCTGGGATTACAGGAATGTACCACTATGCCTAGCTAATTTTTGATTAGTAGAGATGGGGTTTCTCCTTGTTGGTCAGGCTGGTCTTGAACTCCTGACCTCAGGTGATCCGCCCGCCTCGGCCTCCCAAACCCCGAGTGCTCGGATTATAGGCATGTGCCATCACGCCCGGCCAAGCATTCATCTTTTTAAAGGAAAGCATTCATCTGGCTAAAGGAATCCCCTCTTTTGGCCCAGGTCATTATTTTCGTCTCTGTACTATTCCAAATTTATAAGGCTTAAAGAGAAAGACAGAAGAAGAGTGAAATAAGAAAGTGCGTGTATGAATTGACAGGGCAGAATTGGGACTGGTGTGTGTAAATGAAGAGGAAACATGTATAGGTTTTATGTGGACAGAAAAAGGACTTGTTTTAACCAGACCTCTCGTGGAAATAATGTGGGCTGTCTTGCGTGGATAACAGACTTCATCACAAGAACATTCCAGCAGCGTCATCAGAATGGGAAGTGTGGCTTCTTTGCTAACTGGCAGCTTAGACGGAGTAAGTTGCTGAAGAGAAAGGACATGAAGGAGCAGATGGGTGAGGGTGAGGATGGTGAAAGGAAAGGACTGAAAGGAATGTTTCCCGAAGGCTCATCAGGTACCAGGCTCTGTGTCCAAAGCCTTACCTGTCTTAATTGACTCTTTCAGTGTCATTTGCTGATGCAGTCAGAGTCACGCTAATATTGCAGATGAGAAGAGGCTGAGGGAGGCGAAGTGAGTGGTCCAGGGTCATCCAGCCAGCTCATAGCAGAGCTGGTGTGTTTCACCTTAAACTTTGTGCACAGACAGAAATCTTAGGGTGTCCTCTTCCCAGATACAGTGCAGGATGAGATTAAATTGTGGAGTTGGGCGACACTGGGTACATTACTAAAGGAATGTTCTTGCTAAAGGAATCCCCTCTTTCGGCCCAGGTCATTATTTTTGTCTCTGTATTATCCGAATTTATAAGCTGTAAAGAGAAAGACTGAAGAAGAGTGACATAAGGAAGTTCGTGTATAAGTTAACAGGGCAGAACTGGGACTGGTGTGTGTAAATTACGATAAAACATGTATAGGTTTCGTGTGGACATAAAAGGACTTGTTCATTTATACATGCACTTTCTTATTTCTGTGAGACACAGAAGGAAGGCAAAGGAAATTTTTGTCGTGGGTGAAGTTTATAAAAGGTACCTGTGTTGGGCAGAATAATGGCCTCCTGAAAATGTCCATGGATGAAGCTGGAAACCATCATTCTCAGCAAACTGACACAAGAACAGAAAATCAAACACCACATGTTCTTGCCCATAAGTGGGAGTTGAACAATGAGAACATATGGATACAGGGAGGGGAACATGACACACCGGGACCTGTCAGGAGGTGGGGGGCTAGGGGAGGGATATCAGGGGGTGGAGGGATTGGGGAGGGATAGCATTAGGAAAAATACCTAATGTAGTTGACAGGGTGATGGATGTAGCAAGCCACCACGGCACGTGTATAGCTATGTAACAAACCTGCACGTTCTGCGCATGTACCCCAGAACTTAAAGTATAATTTAAAAAAGTTTAAAAACCCAAATAAATAAGTTTTTTAAAAATCCACATCCTAATCCCTGGAGCCAGTGCATGTTAACTTTATTTTGCAAAAAGACTTTGCAGGTAAGATGAAGTTAAGAATCTTGAGATGGGAGGTTATTCTGGATAATGTGGGTGGGCTCAGTGTCATCAGAAGGGTCCTTGTAAGTGACAGAGGAAGGCAGGAGGGTCAGGGTGAGAATGACGAAGTCTGGGCGACTCCACTGGTCATCACCGGCTGTAAATACGCATCATAAAACAAAGTTACAACACAGTTATCTTCAAATTGTATATTTGGGATTGGCTTTTATTTGGGATTTATAATTTAAGGCAGCTTCCCCTTTAAAAATACAGTGATAGCTTCCCCTGAGCAATACAATCACAGAAGAATACAATCACAGAAGAGTGAGTTTGTCAAATTTGAACAAGAAAAGAGAGAATGGAAATAAATAGATTGGTTAACATCAGGTTAATTCAGGTTACTTTTTTATAAAAATCAAAGCAAAGGGGACTTCCTTCTTATGTTAACTCAAGTAGGTTGGAATCTCCTTTTTTTTTTTTTTAATTGGTCTGTTTTGGGATCTGTCTGCTTTCTTAAAATTTCAGTGGGAGTACGCAGCATTTAGCATTGGTGGCCCTATTCTGGAACCTCTTTGCTGTCACTCAGGTGACAGTGTGACCAAAACTTACAGCACTCACATTGTTCTCAGCTACATCATTTTGGGCTTCCATCATTCATAGGTTATGATGTCCTCCTGATCCCACGTTCCTTTGGGTTTTGTCATTGCAGCCAAAGAGATGCCATTTGACATTTGAGGGATAGCTGCATGGAAACGCTGAAAGCTTTCAGAGAATACGGCACGCCAGGGAGACTAGTATCGTGCCTATCAGGAGGGTAACACCAAGAGTTTGGAGTATGCACCTTAGCCAAGATGCAAACCATCTAAAATGGAATAGATCAAAGAATGAGCCAGATGAGTCTACGCATTTTAACCAAGCCAGCACGTTTGTAAATTTCTGCAACTGAGCCTCTGTATTTATCTATGTTCAACAGAAAGCGTCAGAAACAGCACAGGCTCCTTCCTGTTCAGCTAGTAGGAGGTAATTCCATTACCTAGTATCTCATGGCTGGGTTACATTAAAACAGGGAGTGAGAACAAGTGAGTCTAAAAGTGTAACTCTAAAAGGGACCACGGTACATTTGAACAAAGAGTTGTGTTAAGATGCTGCTAATGGCAGCCATTGAGTGGTCTAAAGGATCTCTTATGTAAATTTGGGGGTGGCATGATAGATCTGACACTCTGTTAAGCTGCCTTCGGAAGCTACTTCCTATGAAATTCTAATTACAGTATTATCCTGCCAAGGGAAAGAGGCAGGCATGAGCCAAGACAAATGAAGCAGGGTAGGAGCCTCATCATGACGGGAAGTCTTGTTCCGATGTCTTGGGAAAAGCTGTCCACCGTGCAAAGTTGTCGACTTCTCGTCCTGGTTTGCACTTTCAGTGTCTGTAGTTATGGCGTTGAACACATTGGTGAACTCTGAGTGGCCCACACCTTAGGCATGAGTGTCTCCCCATGAAATTTACATTGAGTTGTCCACCTCTAGCTTACAGAGCTTCAGGAACAGAGCAGACCTTGTTCTTAGCGATTCCATGGGAGAAAATGGGATTGAAGACACTGGAAGAATTCAGGGTCCCCTCTGGTCTACAGGTGGATAATAGGAACTCAGTAACAATGTACAAAGGAAAGTCTCATAACAGGTGTGCTCTATAGTTTATCTTTTCAGTAGAATTTCTCTCCATAGGCATCTCTCCTTCTACCAAAGATAATCCCGATAAAGCAAATCTGTTTTTGGAATAAGTTTAGTCTCATCAAACTTGGCCTCATTCTTTTCATATAACTGCAGAGGAGTGGAGACTCACCACATAGACTTTTTAAAGGTTTGCTGTGCCGAAAGTTTTTATGAGGAATCTCAGATTAAACTTAGAAACCTCTTGACACTAGGAAGCCGAAGTAAGGCTGACTCCAGACGGTTTATCCTCTGTATATCCTCAAATATGACATTCTAGTCAACAGAATGGCAATATAACCAATGTTTTCAAATGCACTCTGTTATAAAAAAAAATCAGATTTTTATTGAACTTGTGCAATAATTATATTGCCACACCATGTAAACAGTCGTGAATAATTTCCCTAGTCTGGAGCAGTCACATAGGGAGAAAATGTAAATGTCTCCATTTTTGTTCATGAAAGTATATTTTGTCAAATTGCTGTAAGCTATGGATAACTTAAAAAAACTTTCCTGAAATATGGGAAATAAGACATTTAGAGAATCAGCAAAATTTCAAATAAAAAAATCATAAAAATATTGTCCTCATTAGTTCATTTGGTCCCGTAAAATCAATTATTTTCTCGGCTTGATCTTGGTGGACAGTTTCATGAAACTATCAGTTTGTTCATTAAAGTTGCGGAAATTCTCAGACAGTCCAATGATATGATCTCTATGTTATCAGAAACCTGCATTCCAGAGTCCAGGCCAGAGTCTTTTCTATAAATATCCCTGACAAAGAAGCAATTTTAATCTGTAGCTGGTTGCAGAGGCTTTAAGGAAGAATCACAACTGTCTGTGAATGAAAAGGATTTAAAATGAGCATGGTTAAAAATCTGATGAGAGTTTATTCTAATAAGAACACAACTTGCATAGAAGTTTAGTTACTTCTGTGGCGTGTGACATTATGGCTGATAACCTATGCGATTTCTAGAATTTCTTACATAATTCTTGGAAGACGTCAATAGCATACCCATAACTGTAACTTAGAGATTTAGAATCACTTATCATTGGACAATGCTTCCATATAATTTGGCATATCAAACAAGGTGGCCTTTCCATTTTGCTTCTGTTTCTCAACTAGATTACTGAGTTATTGAGGGAACCCGTTAATGAACAGGGCCAGCAAAGTATAGGCTTATGTATGTTGAAAAACTCCATATGCACTTCTAATACTCCTCGGTGAAAATCGTGGGTTCAGCCCTAAGTCCTGCCTGTTAGAACAGGGATTCTCCATCCTGGCTACACATTAGTAGTATCTGGAGAGGCTTAAAAATTACCACTGGGTCCCACTCCAGGCTGGTAGATCAGAATCGACGGGTGGGGCTTAAGCATCCATTTTATAAAATGTTTCTGAGTGATTCCAATGTGTAGTTGTATTTCCCATCAGATTTCTCTGATTTCTTGTGGCATTCACTCCTCTCTATTTTGGTATTGTGATTATTTTTCAGGTTTTGTCTACTGTCATAGAACTTGTGTTTCCTTGCCTTCTTCATTTCTGAATCTCTTATGAACACATAAATTGGTCATCAGGAAAAGGTTCTCAGCCACAGGTAGGCTGTGTGCTGAGCTTAAGATTCACATGTTAATGCTACAGGCTTTGTTCTCCATGAGGTCAGAAGCTACTTGTTATGAAGGGTGTGGGCAAATCCACAGTGCAGATGGTGGAGGTCACCCTGTTTGACATGTTTTTAGGTGTAACATTGGAACTAAGAATTCTATGTACATATGGGGTGGAGAGGCAGGGATGTGTAGGGAGACAGATCTAATTAGGATGACGGAATTATACAAGGGAGTGGTGGTAAAGGAAGTGAGAAGGATTAGTAAAGGGAAGAAATTTGAACTTATCTGATTGACTGCAGTAGTCCTTTGTGGCTTCTTGAGTAGGTGAGTGAATGAGATTTCAGGAAGGTAACGAGGCAGTCATATGCAAGAAAGACTTCAGACACTGGCAACAAGGGGTCAAGCAGGACTTTGAGCAGTTGTTAAGGTTTATGGGAATGGAGAGAAGGACCCAAGAGAGAGGCATTAAAAAAGGATAGACAGTGGGGTACAGGGAGCATGAAGAGTAGGGAAGAAGAGACCAGCAGGAATTAGTGTGAGAAGCAGGAGTTTAGGGGTAGGAGGAGGAGATCTAGTCCCAGATGCAGGTGAAGAAGTGCTTTCCCTCTCCCGAGCCTGGTGGTCAGCACTGTGGGAAACAGGACAGGAGGAAAGGCCACCATACCTGCCAGTCTTCCTGAAATGCAGAAACTATACCAGGGCTGCTATCAGAGCCACCCCAGCCAGCACTCCAGTCATGATGCTGACAGTGGTCCCAGCTGAGTCAACAGGACCGCCTGGTACTGGAAAAAAAAAAAAAAAAGAGAAGGAGTGGAGGTGATGTTATTTTACTGTGGGGTGCCCCAGGTGCCAGCTCTCAGCACGAAGTAGTCTCCACTTGTTCCTTCAAGGAATGCATTCGTTTTGCAGGAAGGTTCACATTTTTTCTCTCTCACTGTGTTTCTAGTTGGTGATTAGTCTTCTGTCAATTCCATCCTGGCCTTTCCACACTCAGATATTTCCGAAGGCTTTGACATTTATAAAGACCGATTGCTATTTTTGCGTCTCATTAGAACTTTCTATCTTTTCATGGTTGCATCTTTTTCTCAGTGTCTCAGTTGAGGAGGCATAAGTACGAGTCTGTGGGGTCTCTATGACAGGGACTTGATTGACACAAGGCCCCGGCTGGAGCCTTCTGTGTTTCCTAAGTCCTGTGTACACAGAACTCGCCTCTCATGGGCTCCCAGCAGGGGAATGCAATCTCGGTTCTGGGAGACTCTGCTTCTCTCTTAAGGGTGAGGACTCCCCATCAGCCTTGTGGAAACTCTGAGAACCGCATCACCGTCTAAAACTCTCTCCTCTTTCTCCTGCTCAGGAATCAGATCTGCGTCGTGGTCTGAGGGCTGTCTCAGACCCCTCCCACTCCTACTCTGCTTTTCCTCATGGTTGTTTTCCCCAATAAATTACCTGGCACCTCTAACCCCATCTCGGCTGCATCTCAGTGGATAAAAACTAACAAACTCGGCTTGATTCTTTGCACTTAACTTTTTCTGTCTCCCATTTTTAGCCAGTAGCCATGTCCTGGTGGGTTTTCATTTGGGGCTCAGCTCTCACCTGTCAACTCGGGCTGACGGTTAATGCCATGTTAGCTACTGGACATGCTTATCTGGTGCCTCATTTGATCCACACAATCACCCTGTTGGGTAGACATGATTTCCATTTTACAGATGAAATGACAGAGCCTTAGAGTGGTGAAGAAACCTACCCAAAGTCATATGGGTAGTGAGAAGTTGACCTCGGACCTGATGCTAGGACTGCCTGACTTCAACCTCCTGATAACAGTGGTAATAAGAGCAGCTAACCTTGTGCGGTTTTCCTCTGTGGGTTGCAGTTTGCTGAAGGCTTAATCAAATAGGACATTAAATCTTTAAACCATACTATGAAACAGGCACTCTCATGGCAATTTCATTCCCTTCAATTCTGGTGATGAGAATTATTACGATTTTCAGTTGAAGAACTGAAGGCTCAGAGAAGTTAAGAATCTTGTGCGAGAAATTTAAAATGGTAAATACATTAAAAATAAAGAGAGGCCTCAAATCAACAACCAAGCGTTACCACTTCAGGATAGAGAGAAAGAACAACCTCAAACCACAGATAGTGCATGAAGGAAATAATAAGGATTCGAGTTTAAATAAATAAATGGAAAATAGAAACACAAGAGAAGGAATTGATGAAACCAAACGTTGGTTCTTCAAAAAAGATTGACAAAATCGACATTTACTAGATTGACCAAGGAAAAAGAGGAGATTCAGATTACTAAATCAGAAATGAAAATGGAGGTATGGTGGTTCACACCTTTAATCCCAGCACCTTGGGAGACTCAAGTAGGAGGATTGCTTGAGGTCAGGAGGTCGAGACCAGCCTAGGCAACATAGGGAGACACGATCTCTACAAAATTTCTTTAAAAAACGATCCAGGCATGCTGGCACATGTCTGCGTTCCCAGCTTCTCAAAAGGCTGAGGTAGGAGGATCACTTGAGCCTGGGAGGTCGAGGCTGCAGTAAGCTATATGATGGCACCACTGCACTCTAGCTTGGACTGGGCTACAGAGTGAGACTCTATCTATTAAAAAAAAGGAAAAGAAAATGGCGACATTGCTACCAATTCTACAAATTCTACAGAAATATTAAAGATTACAAGAGTGCTATGAATCATTATATGCCAACAAATTGTTGAATAACCTAGATGAGATGGACAGATTCTTGGAAACTTTTAACAGATCCATAATTAGAACCAACAAAAGCATCTGACAAAATAGAACATTCTTTCATAATGAAAACTTTCCATGAATGGAAGGAAACCGCCTTAATATAATAAAGGCAACATGTGAAAAGCCCAAAACTAACATGATGCTCAACGGAGAGAGCCTGAAAGCTTTCCCTGTAAGACCCGGACAAGGACGCCTGCTTCCGCCACTTTTATTCAGCGTAGTATTAGAAGCCCGAGCCACAGAAACTGGAAAGAAAGATGAAGACATCCAAATTGGAAAGAAGAAGTAAAATGATCTCTGTTCTCAGATATTGTGAACTTATATGTAGAAAACCCTAAAGATGAAAAAAAAACCTGTTAGAATCAATAAATAAGTTCGGGAACACTGTAGGATACAAAGTCAACACGCAAACATCAGTTGTGCTTCCACACGTTAACAACGAGCAATCTGAAAGAAATTAGGAAAAAATTCCCCATTCACATTAATATAAAACAGTATAAAATATTTACAAATAAGTTTAAAAGGAGGTGAAAAGATTATACCTTGAGCTGGAAGAAATTAAAGATGACATGAATAAGTGGAAAGACATTGGGTTTTCATGGATGGGAAGACTCAGTGTTGGGAGGACAGCACTACCCACAGTGAGCTGCAGGTTCAGTGCAATTCCCACCAGAGTCCCAGTGACAGTTTTGGCGGAAATAGAAAAACCTATCCTAAAATTCATATGGCATCTCAGGACTCTAAACAGCCAACAACCTGGAAAATAAAGAATGAAGCTGGAGGACTCACGCGTCCTGACTCAGCATTTACTCTAAAGCCACAGTAACCGATGCTCAGTGTGGTACTGGCCTAAAGGAAGATACTGAAGCCAATGACACGGAATAGGGAGCCCAGGAAGAAATGCTTGAATAAACGGCTAAATGCTCTTTGGTGAGAGCGCCATGAGCATTTAGTGGGGAAAGGACAGTCTGTTCAACAAATGCTATGGGGAAAGCTGGATATCCATGCATATGAACCAGCTGAATCTTTACCTGACACTGTGTATGAAATTAACCTAAAATGGATCAAAGCCCTAAACATAAGAGTGAAAAGTATAAAACCCTGAGAAGAAAGCATAGGAAAAAAGTTTTGTGACATTGAATTTCATAGTGATTTCTTGGTTATAACAACAAAAGCATGAGCAACAAAAGAAAAATGGAAAAGCTGGACTTCATGAAAATTAAAAACTTTTATGTATCAAAGAACATTATGGAGAAAGTGAAAACGCAACCCATGAAATAGGCAAAAATATTTGCAAATCATATATATGATAGGGGATTAATTTCCAGAATATATGAAAAACTACTGTAAATGAACAACCACAAAAATCCAAAAACCCAATTAAAAGAATGGACAAAGGACTAAAATAGAGATTTCTCCACGAAAGATACACAAATATCCAACAAGCATATGCAAAGATGCTCAATACCACGAAGACTTAGGGATATGCAAATGAAAACCACAGTGAGACTCTACCCCACGCACGTTAGGATGGCTTTGACAGGAAAAGAACACGGAGCCATACGTGCTTTCAAGGAGGCGGACACACTGGAACTCCAGTGCATTGCTGATAGAAATGCGAAATATTAGCTACTGTGGAAAATGGTATGGTGGTTCCTCAAAAAATAAAACAATTAACAATCGATCCACCAATTCCTTTTTGTGGACACACACCCAAAAGAACTGAAGGCAGCAATTTAACAGATGTTTGAACACTGATGCTCATGGCGGCGTTACTCTCAATAGCCAAAGGTGGAAAGAACTGAAAAGTCCATTGGAAGATGAGTGGATGGAAATGAGGGATATCCACACAACGGATGTTACTTCACCTTAACCAGGAATGAAACTGTGGTACATGGTGCAAAATGGATGAATCTTGAAGACATTCTGCTAAGTGAAATAAGCCGGACACAAAAGGACAACCTGATATAATTCCATTTCTATAAGATAGAATAGTTGATTACCCAGAGACAGAAAGTAGAATGGAGGTTCCCAGGAGTTAGGGGGAGAAGGAGTGAGAGTTACTGTTTATTGGGTACAGAGGCTTAGTATGGTAAGATGAAATAGTTCTGGAAATGAATAGTGTGATGGTTACACGAGAGTATAAATATACTTGACTTCTTTTTCTTTTTTTTTGAGACGGAGTCTCAGTTGTCACCCAGGCTGAAGTGCAGTGGTGCCATCTCAGGTCACTGCAACCTCCACTCCCCAGGTTCAAGTGATTCTCCTGCCTTAGCCTCCTGAGCAGCTGGAATTACAGGCACCCACCACCATGCCCAATTAATTTTTTTTATTTTGTATTTCTAGTAGAGACAGGGTTTCACCATGTTGATCAGGCTGGCCTCAAACTCCTGACCTCAGGTTATCCATCTGTCTCAGCCTCCCAAAGTGCTGGGATTACAGGCGTGAGCCATCACACGCAGCAATATACATGATTTATATTTATGCTGTGTCACTTAACTGTACACTTAGAAATGGTTAATGATAAGTTTTATGATAGACAGATACAGTGGCCGGTAGTCTTACCCTCTCTATAAACCCACACTTTTTGGCACTGCCTCCCATGCAGAGCCACCATGGCTGAATCTCCCCATTTCTCCAAGTATGTGTCACTCGCTGTCCTCTGTGCTGTGTCCTCATACAGCCAGTGACTTCAGGGCCAGGACACAGCGCAGGAGTCCGTCCGAGGCTCCCTCTCTTCCCATTTCCCTGAAACCTTACCCGGGGGAGGCTCTGCTGTGGAATGGCAGCTCGATTTAGCCAGATTCAGAATAGCCCACCTGGACACCTTCTCTACACGCCCCAGTCCCACCCCAAGTGGAGTCAGGGCAGAGCCAGTCACTGGGGGAGCTGGTGCAGAGCAGGGAGCAGAGTCTGAGCTGCTCCTCCCTTATCCAAGGGGCTTCCTCCTCTCGTTTGGGGAAAAAGTGTGAGCTTGTTTCAAAGCCTCCTTGTTCCTTGTAGCTCATTAAGTAGGTAAAACAACACGAAGAGGTGACAGAAGGGTTTCTGCACAACATAGTTTTGTCTGCACTGTGAAGCTCCTTTCACTATAGGGGGCCTGTTGGGGCTGAGAGAGCCCTGTCCCCACTTTCCAGGCTGGACCTGAGGTCAGCCATGAGGTATTGGAGATGCAAGGGAGGAAGAGAATCTGCCGAGATGGAGTGAGAGGGCTCACGATAGGATTTGGGATTTGCTTGTGCCCAGTTCATGGCTCTTTTTTGAGACCCAGACAGACTCCACCCCAAAGCATGATGCTGATGCTCCAGAGAGCCACTTACCAGAGACCGTGATCGTCTTGACTGTGGAATTATAGCGGCGGGTCGCTGAGTTAGAGACAAAGCAGCCATAGACTGCGGTGTGATTTGAAGTGATTTGGGGGATGAAGAGCACTTGTGTGTGTGACTGCAAAGTCCCATTGATATACCAGGAATACGTTGGGGTTGGGTTAGAGGCCGAGTGGCAGGAGAGGTTGAGGTTTGCTCCTGAACGGTAAGATGAGTCTGGAGGGGAAATGATGGGGGTGTCCGGGCCATCTGGAGCAAAGAGAACAAAGCCACAGGTGATGTCATCAGAGGAAAGGGGAAGCTCCTGATTGTAGAAGGACCACAGTGTCCCTCTGAGTCTTGTCCCAATCCTGTGTTAAAAAGTCCAAACCATAACCCTCAAGTCCACCTAGTCTGGGTCTGAGACATTCACCTGTTTCTCCCATCAGAGGCTGTGGACCCTGAGCCTCCCAGGGCAGAAGCATCCCTTCCCCGCCTATTCTTGGTCCAGGCTGCCCAAGTTTTCCTGGGGCAGGAAGTAATGGCTAGCCTGGGTGTCCAGGGGTGCGGGTCCGCATCTTTGGATTTGAGGGGGACTGAGAGGCCTGGCCTCTGGCTGTGTGGATTTGGGATGGAAGCCAGGGCCACAGAGTAACAGAAGATACTCACAGAGGACATTCAGGGTGACTGGGTCACTGCGGTTCGCACTCACTGGGTTCTGGATTCCACACTCATAGGGTCCTGTGTCATTCCTTGTGACGCTGAGTAGAGTGAGGGTCCTGTTGTCACTGGACAGCTGCAGCCTGGGACTCACCGGGAGGCTCTGACCATTTACCCACCACAGGTAGGTTGTGTCCTGAGTCTCAGGTTCACAGGTTAAGGCCACAGCATCCTTGTTCTCCACAGGCCTGGAGTTGTTGCTGGTGATGTTGGGCTTGGACAGCTCCGCTGTGCAGATAACAGAGAGAAGCTTGCCCTGTGTGGCACCTGTGATTCCTCCACGGGCATCTTTCAATCAGAACTGGTGTCTCCCACCCCTCAGCCCACCGAATCCTTAAAAGCCCGTAGCAGGTGTGTGTATCATAAGACAGATGCACCATGATCTGAGGCTCAGAGACCGTGAGGCCACGTGATCTGTGGGAGAAGCACAGACTTTCTCAAGTGTGAATTGAGCAGCAGCGTTGGGTTCTGGGCAGACACAGGACTGGAGGTCACAGTCACCAGCACTTCTGGTCCTTCCCTGACTGGCTGACTGCCTGGCCCATTGGGGTCCTCACCTGGAATTTGAAGGAGCTGTTTCTTCCAGCTGCACTGTCCTGTACCACCCATCCAAGGTGTGTTTTCTCTGAGGCTTTGCTATTTAAGGACATCCTAGAGATGGGTGATGATGGGGACGGGTGCTTGAGCAGAAATAGCCCAGGAGGAATGATGCCAAATTAGCAGAAGCGGTCTGTGTTATGTTAGTGAATTTAGAAAGCGCGCCCTGCCCCTAATTCCTGTGCAGAGTTAGGCAAATAGGGGAGGAGCCCAAAACAGGCATGTGAAATGCTCTCGTCCTCTCCTCTCAACCTCAGAAAACACAACTAGAGTTTAAGATCGTAGACCTTTTAGGCCATTAGTAACAATTTCCACTTATGGAAAAAAATTTAACTGGGCAGAGTCTGAGGGAGACACCGGTGACTGGTGCACTTCTCAGTCCCAGGGACCCCACCTTATGACAGTAGCATCATCATGGGGACACAGGTGTATGCAGAATGGGCAGCAAACCCCTCAGACAGCACCTGCCTGGCCAGCTTCACCTGGGGGAGGTCCTGGGATCCACTGGAGGACGTGAGCCCCACACCAGGATGAAGATGGAGTAGGTAGTGAAATGAGCATGTGGGCTTTAGGGACTGCAGACCTGTCCTTCTGTCCCTGACCCTCTCGTGAGTCAGTGTAGAGAGCGGATGGAAGAGTCGCTCGTCCCTGTCCTGTGGTCTGTTCCAGGTGTTGGTTTCATGGAGGTAAAGAGCCTTGAGCAGGGACACAGTGGAAGCTCATTTTCCTGGTGACCTGTTGACATTGGCTTTTGATAGAGCCTGGCAGGGGTGGCTGCTCTGGGCTGATTTCTGTGGTTTTCCTATTGCTTCAGAGGTGGGCCAGGCCACAGCATGAGTGGGAAGGAAACAGGACAGCCATCCTTGTTCAAGGAAGTGTCTGGGGAAGACCTAAATGTGGAGGAGGATGTTCAGGGAGGAGCATCCTAGCTGGAATGAGGAGGGAGGAAGATGAGGAACACGGAGGAACAGGAGAGAGTCAGAAACACCCATGGCAGTGAGCTGTGCAGGGTAGAGTGACTTCAGAGACCCCGGGGACCAGGAGTCCCTCGGCTGTCCCAGCCAGGACTAGGGAGCCTTGAAAATGCTCCCATGGCCAAGGAACCCCAGAGTCATATGAGATAGGGTGACTTTCGGGACAGGGGGTTGGTCAGAGGAATGGAATGTGGATCTCAGCCCCTGACAGACAGGGAACAGTTGTGGCCAGAACCTCCTAGGATTCTGCATCCAGGATCCAGTCTCTATAGAGGGTGTGGGTCATTCATTCATTCATTCATCCATTCATTCATTCATTCACTTCTTCATGAGAGAGCTACTGAACAAACATGTGTCTCACTTTGAGCCTGTGTTGGTGCAGAGTGTGAGTGGGGAGGGAAAGCGAAGTCCTTTCCTTTATCCCCCATGGGAATGATACTGGCACACTGAGAAATAATAGGATTTCAGGTGCAGTGAGGGGGTGGATCTAATGGAGAGGCCTGGACAATCCCAGCATTGACCTTGTCAGTTAAGGTGATTTAGTTCTAGAGTAAACTGACTAATTCTCTATTCACTTCTCACTCTCCAAACCAGAATCTCCCTCTCTGAGCTGTGGATGCCCAAGACGAAAGGAAGCAAACCCACGACGGGTCTCGGTCTGCAGATGCCTAATAACAAACAGCCCCCAACCCCCGGGGGAGGAGAGGAGGGGGCTCTGGCTGCAGACAGACCTCACATGTCTCTAATCTGCCACCTATGACCTGTGGACCCTTGTTAGTGACTGTCTCCCTGCCCCTCAAGTTCCTTTCAGTAAGTAGGATAAGTGCTATTTGGCTGTGAAGTTGTTTGTGAATTAACCTCAAAATATTTCCAATTACTTGACCTCAGTTCAGCACAGAGCAGCTGCCCAAATGAACAGCATTTATGTTTATTTGCCTCCAAGAGAGAGGGCCCTGGGTCTGATCCCTGGTGGACAAGGGGCTACCGGGAGCATCTTCTCCCCTCTGTTCCTCCTCCTGGGGACTCTGAACCTGTGTCCCCAGGGCAGTGGACTCATGCCTTAGTAACCTTGTCTGTCTGTCCTCTCCACATTGAGTCTCGAGTAAAGCAGGATGAGGCTCTGTCCTTGCCCACATGAGACTCTGGGGACAGGGACAGCTGTGGCCAGAAACTGACTCTGCCTCCAGCATCCAGCTCCAGGAGCCATGGCCCTTGGACAGCTGGTGGGTCTTTGCTCCCGGTTGGCCATGCCCAGGAGGCCACAACACAGCCCTGGCACAGGCTTCCCTGGGTCACTTGGAATCAGGAGCCCTGGGGCTGAGCTTCTCTGTGAAGATCCCAGGGGGGCCCTCAGGGCAGCCCTGACCTGGTTCTCCAGGGTCTTCTCAGGGTCAGGTCCATGGGGAGACCATGGGGTGCTTGGCTGAGACGGACCTCCCCTGCTGAGTCCCCCATCAGACTGTCCTTCCTCTGCTGTGAGTGTCTGCAGGATCTGGATGCAGGAAGGGGATTCTGATCTGTTGAAGTTCATCTCCCCTGTGTGTGTCCTGCACTAAATGCCCAAACCCTAACACAGGATATAATGCAGAGGGGGACACAGGGGGACACAGGCACAGCCCAGCCCTGACAATCCCGTGTGTGGGGAGCACAACTGACCGCAACACTCGGAGGTCATGGGGAAATACTCACAGTATACACGGAACTGGACAGTTGTTTCTTCACTCGTAAGGTCTCCCTTTATGACTTGCAGGGTGTAGAATCCTGTGTCACTCAGGGTGACGTTCCGGATCAGCAGGGAGACGTTCCGGATCAGCAGGGAGACATTGGGGTTTATTGTCTCTCGGCCGCTGTATGCGGGCCCTTGGATAGTTTGTTGAACTGCTATTACATATCCCATAATTCGACGGGTCCTGTCCACTCTTTCCCCTTTGTACCAGTTGAAGGCAGCCGTATCTTGGGACACATTGTGGGTGAGTAGAAGAACCTCCTCCCCCTCTGCAGCATTGGATGGAATGGATTCAATAGTGAGCTGGGCACTGGTGGGCAGGTTCCAGAAGGTTAGAAGTGAGGCTAGGAGACAGGAGAGAGCATCAGTCAATATTAGGACCTGTGCATTGGGATGGAAGGATGGGGCCCTGGGTCCTGAGCAGGTCTCTTCATCCCTCCACCTTAGGGTGTGTATGTGTGTGTGTGTGTCCCACTGGGTGAAGGTCAGCAGAGTGACTCCCATTCCCTTAGTGCCTCTGACCTTGTCATTTCTCTGGAATCCTCTTCCCCAGGGGTCTGCACGGCTCCCTCCCCACCGCCCTCAGATCCTACTCACATCAGGGCATCCTTGGGAGACCCCTCCCCTAACACCTCCTCCAGAGACCCTGGGTCTTCCCTTTCTGACCTTTCCCTGCTCTGTTCTCTCCAGGGCTCTTGTCAACACCTGGCCTCACATTCTAGATCTCTTTGCTTGTCTGCCTTCCTCCCCATGAGAGCATGAGCTCCGTGAGGACAGGGACTTGTGTGATCCTGGTTGCACCCCAATGCCTGGGACCATCTGCGAACTCCTGTGGATGATCTCATGAGCCTTCCCAGGGCCCTCCATGGCCTGAGGTTTATTTGCCAATGTCTGTGGTAGGCAGGTGAGGACAGTGTTTCATGCCTGGATTATGCTTTTCCTTTTCTTTCTTTTTTTTTTCTAAAGAGACGGGGTCTCTATGTTGCCCAGGCTGGAGTGCAGTGGCTATTCACAGGCACAATCCCACTACTGATCAGCATGGGAGTTCTGACCTGCTCCATTTCCAACCTGGGCCGGTTCACCCCTCCTTAGGCAACCTGTGGTCCCCTGCTTCTGGGAGGTCACCGTGTTGATGTGGACACCCAACCGGCATAGCACACTACAGCCCAGAACTCCTGGGCTCAAGAGATCCTCCCGCCTCAGCCTCCTGAGTAGGGGGGACTACAGGAACGCACTACTGTGCCCGGCTATGCTTTCATTTAAAGTGTCATCTGATGCAATTATTATGAGTTTTAAACATGTAGTGGCCAGTGATGATTAACTAGGAAAATCAAACACTTGAGGTTTTCCTGCCCCTTTCCAATTCCAGCTCAGTATGATTTTTCTGGTGTGATTCCTGTCCCTCTCTGATGTCCTCTTCCCTATTCAGGCTCCAACAGGAGCCCTCTGTCCCTCTCAGAACCCTGTCCTCCCCAGGAGACCCCAGCCAATCTCTGTGCTCCCTCCTCCCACCCTCCTCCAGGTTGTCCTCCCCTCACCTATGAGCAGGAACCTCTGCCAGGGGATGCGCCATCTGTGGGAAGGTGCTGAGGGGGGCCTCATGGTCTCTGCGGCCTGCTCTGTCCTCTATAGAGAAGAGCTCGGTTTCCAGGAACACTCTTGTCAGGGCTGCTGTGACTGTCCGTCTGCTGTCTGTCCTTTCTCTGCCCTGAGTCTACTTCTAGGGCAGGGGCACTTCTTAGGATCACGTGGGCCATGGGTGTGGTCTCTATTCAGGAGTCCTCTGTCCCCTCCCCTCTCATTTCTGCCTCTTTTGTCCCTCCTCTTTTTTCCCTTCTATTTTCGGTTCCCCAGGCAAAGCTTTGAATAGCAGGGTGGATGGACCCCATCCCCTGGGAGGACAACCTGCCTTCCCCAGTGCTGACCTCTGCTGTGTTCTGGCCTTGGGTCTGTCACACCGGGGGGATTATTTTCCTCCGTGACAGAGAAACCCAGCTGGGCCCCGGGTCTCCCCATGCTCTCCAGTGCTCTGGGAAGGTGGGATGACGCCTGGCAGGAAGGTGACAGAGGTGGCTCTGGGGAATAGAGAAAGGCTCACTGGGTGGTGGCTGGGGAGGGACCAGCCCTCTGTCTCCAGTGTCACTAGCCTGGCCTCTGACCCAGGGATGGAGACCCAGCCCCTGAGACCCTCTCAGGAGGCCCCAGCTCCTGCGTGTGGAGGGGGAAGTGTCCTGTATGTCTTGGAAAGAGAGGACTGTGGTGGAGGGAGGTAGGAGGCTCTGGGCTCTGCTGTCTTTGGGGAAGGCTCCAGGGGGACTCTCCCTCTCTGTGTCTGTTGACTGAGCTGTGGCTGAGGGCCTGTCCATATTCTTCTTGACCATCCTGGGTGGTCTCTGTCCTCTGAGAGGCTGACTGTCCTGTGTTTACCCTCTACCCGCCCATGGTGGTACCGGGAGGGAGTCAGAAGTTCCACAGGGACCCCTGGCAGAGCAGGGTCCTCAAAGGACCCAGAAAGGGACAGAGCAGGTACGTGGGAGAGATCAGAAGAGTCCGTTGGTAGAAGGGATGGAAAGCAGGCTCCATCTCCACCTCCTTAACAAAGCCAGGTTCTAGTCCAGGGGAATCTGTTTCCTGAGGTTGTCTGTGTGCTGTGTCACCCCCTGGAGGGCGAGCAGAGACCTGGAGCCTTGTCAGGAGCTGCTCCAGGGATGATAACCGAGTCCACGTGGTGTGAGCGGGCCCTGAACCCTGGATTAATTAGGCTGCAGGGTCAGGGTGGTCCAGGTTCTATTCCCACAGGGCTCTGCCTTCCCTCCTGAGGCTCCGAGGGTTCAGGACCCGTCTCTGGGGCAGCCGCGGGCACTTGCTGACCTCCCCCCATGCTGGCACCAGTGCCCCTTTGTCCACATGGAACAGGCTCTGACCCGGGGCAAAACGGAGGTGATATGCTTCTTTTTAGAGATCTCCCACACATTTAGCTAGTATTTATTGAGCATCTGTTCCATGTCAGGCTCTGGGCTGGGTCCTGGGATTCCACAGAGCAGGATAGAAGTGGCCACTGCACTCATGGAGATTCCCTGTAACAGGGAGACAGGCACTCAGTAAACCTCGTGGGACTGAGGAGTTAATGGTAATGAGAAGGGCTGTGAGGTGACAGCACTGTGGGAGTCGGAGCTTGTGAGACACCGAGCTGTCCTGGAAAATGCCCTTTTGGCTGAGCCCCAGGAAGGAGAGGGTGTCGGGGCAGGAGTTGCCTTCAAAGGGAGAGGACCCAAGTCGGCGGCCGCTGGGCTGCAGGGAGGAGCTGACAGGGTTCCTGTGGGGAGCTTGGAGGGCGAGGAGAATGTGGGCCAAGTTGACCTGGGTGAGAGTAGACCCTGCTGGGCTATGGGCCCAGATGAGGGAGGTCAGCAGCCCCTGGGAGGTTTCAGGCTGGGAGGAACTCTGCCGCCCTCTGGTGGACAGGGAGGGAAGTGAGGACGGCAGCCTTGAATGCGGGTCCTGCACGTTATGCCAAAGTGTCACCGGGTTCCAGCTCGGTGAGCCCCAGTCTCTGTGGCTCCAAGTACACTGTCCTCCCTCTTTCTCAATCAGATGTCCCCAAATGCAGATTTTTGTCACCTTTTGTGAGTTTGTTTTTGTCTGCAGGAGGCTGTACTGTGCAGGCCCCGGCAGGGGCAGGGGGCAGTGATGTCTGGGTGGGAGCACTGGGTGGGGGTCTGGGAGTAGAAGAGCGTATTAGTCTGCCCTTGCATTGCTATAAATACCCGTGACTGGGTAATTTATAAAGAAAAGAGATTTAATTCGCTCATCGTTCTGCAGTTGTACAGGAAGCATAGCAGCTTCTGCTCCTGGGCATGCCTCAGGAAACTTGCAATCATTCTGGATGGTGAAGGGGAAACTGGCACGTCTTACATGGCAGAGCATAAGAGAGAGAGGGGAGAGGCGCCTCCAGTTTTAAATAACCAGATCACACAAGACCTCTTTCACAGATACAGTATCAAAGCAGAAAATCCGTCGGGCACAGTGGCTCACACCTTTAATCCCAGCACTTTGGGAGGGTGAGGCAGGTGGATCACGAGGTCAGGGGTTCGAGACCAGCCTGGCCAATATGGTGAAACCCCGTCTCTACTAAAAATAAAATTTAAACAAAATTAGCTGGTTGTGGTGGGGAGTGCCTGTAGTCCCAGCTGCTCAGGAGGCTGAGGCAGAATTGATTGAACCTGGGATGTGGAGGTTGTAGTGAGCTGAGATCGTGACACTGCACTCTAGGCTGGGTGACAGAGGAAGACTGCGTCTCAAAAAAAAAAAAAAAAGGCAGAAAATCTACTCACATAATCGAATCACCTCCCACCAGGCCCCACCTCCAACACTGGGGTTTACAATTTGATGCGAGACTTGGGCGGGGACATAGATCCGAATCATATTAGAGAGGGAGAGGCATGAGGGAGAAGGTAAATGTCAGGGGAACAGAGGAGCAGGGACAAGACAACCTCGCTTCTCACTCCCTGGGGACCAGAACAGGGGACCCCGACTGGGGACGCAGCACCACACACTCTCGGTGTCCCTGCATCAGGGGAGGTGGGAGCTGCTTCCTTGTTCATGGGGCCTGGCCTCACCTGCTTAAATAGCTTCACACTCACAGTCCCACCCTGGACTACAACCCCACAGAGCCTGTGTCTTCCTCTCCTCTCCTGCCCATTCCTGGGTTTTCCTTCCATCACCATCTTCTCCGTGTGGCTTCACCTGCTCCCGTTCCAGGCAGCTGCTCCTGGATCTTTGCCCTGTTACCGTCTCTGGAATTACTGGCCTCTGCCATTTGTTCTGAGCTCTGAGCCCTGTGAGGGAGGAAGGGTGAAGCTGGGGTTGGTGCTGTCCAAGGTGCTGCTCTCTCTGGACAGCTTGAGTGAGGGATGCTGATGTGTCGCCAAGGAGGAGGCCCCAGGAGGGATCTGTGTCGGGGTGCCTGGGTCAGAGGGAGGGGGAACCTATGCCAGGGTGAGCTGTGAACTGCAGGGACCCTGCTCTGTGTCATCCATCAGCTCTTCCAGCTCCGTGTTCCTCTCTGTAGCTGATTCTCTGGTGTGTTCGTTGAGCCTGTCCTACAGTCCCCCTCACAATGCCTGGTGGTCAGAGCTGTGTGTGGAGACCTAGTAGGGAGGTCTCCTGTGCTCACACAGAGTACCCTGGGGACAGGCTTCATGATCTCCCTTGTCCCAACCCAACAACAAGATCTGGACAGGGGGCTGGGTCAGATAAAGTCAGATCCATGAGAAGGATGTGTATCCTGGCAGTGCTGAGGTCTGTACCCCGAGCTTAACTCTCAGTCTCTTTGCAGATAATTTATGTTGTGCATCTGCAGTTGGCTGGGAAGTCTCATGTCCTTAAATCCTTGGTTATTTCTGTACAGAAGGTCATGAGGGCCTGCACATGGATATAACAAGGACTGTCTGATTAGGATGGGTATATTTTACGTGGTGGGCTTTCTCTCTCCAAGTGTTTTATAGATGTGTTCAAATGTATAAGAAAATATGCAACATTAATCATGTTAAGTGTACAATTCAGTGCCATTAATTACATTCACAATATTCTACATCCTCACCGCTATATTTTTCCAGAAAATTTTCATATCTCACATAGAAATTTTATACTTTTTTTTTTAGAAATTTTATACTATTAATCAATAACTCCCCACTTCCCCTTGCCCTGGCCCTTGGTAGCCACTGATGCTATCTCTCTCTGTCTCTCTCTCTTTTTGAGACATTTTGCATTTTTTTCTTTTTGCTTTTTTCCTATTTATGCTCAAATTCATATACTTTAGATCTTTCCTTAAATAAGTATATGTCCCCCTAAGTAAATGTAATCAGTGACTGGACACTGTTGATGTCTCACTCCCAGCCCCTGTGTGGTGACAGAGCCCTGCTTCCCCAGCCCATGCCAGAATTAACTCAAAGTGGATCAAATACCAAAATGTAATTGAAAAATGTATTCAACTCTTAGAAGAACAGATAGATAAGGGTAAAATTTCATGACCTTTGATAAGGTCCAGTGCCCACGTCATTGGGGAGGGGCTGGGTTCAGGCACGGGAGCTGAAGAGTCCAGATGCCCCTGCCCTGTGTGGGCGCTGGGGATATGGCCATGTGCCTGTGTCCCTAAAAGTTCTGTAACTCAGGATCTGTGTCCGAGGGACTTGGCTGGGCTGCTGTGGAACCTTCCACATGGGCCTTTCCCAGTGGGGGATGTGTCCTCCCAGGGATTTCAAGGATTCTCAGCTGGAAGAATCAGGAGGGATATGGCAGCCACTAGGGCGCAGGTTTCCCTCAGGGACAGAGGGCACCAGTGGCCTCCAGGCTAATCCATCACCCCCAGAGTCAGGCCCCCGGGCATAAGGGGTGTGTGATCCTCCCGACCCCACCTCCACAGGACCCCGTTGCTGGGTGGTCTGTGGGAACGTGGCCTCCCCTCCATGTAGTGCAGGAGAGGGACCCTAGAGGCCCTTTTGTGTGGAGTGAGACAAGGGAGGATGCACGTTAGGGCAGGAGTCATGTCCCTGGAGGCAGGAGCTGTGAGAGGTTGGGCAGAGGGGAGGCACACAGCCCGCCCAGTGCTGCAGGCTACATCGGGGTGGAAGTGTTTCCTTGGCGCACTAAGCCTTGTCCCTTAAATGTTCCAGAATTTCCCACTTCAGCGCTTCTTTCTCACCGAGGCTCCTCAGGTCTGTACTGTCCTTGAGCTCCCAG